GTAGATCAATAGATACTGCTTCTGCGGCGCTCCATGCAGTCATGCCGGCCACATGACCTTGGAGGTGTCTATGGAAAACGCCGGCTCTTCGGCTTAGAAATGGAGATTAGTTTATTAGAATGTTATTTTATGACTGTTTTTTTAATGTAATTTTGATGATGTTGTTGTTATTTGTTGTTTATGTATTGATTTTATTGCTGTAATATGTTGTCTGGGCTTGGCCCCACGTAAGCCGCTCCGAGTCCCCACAGGGGAGATGGTGGCAGGGGTATAAATAAATAAATATTATTATTATTATTATTATTATTATTATTATTATTATTATTATTGTTATTATTATGTGCACCAACCCCCAGAGCCAGACACGACTGGACTTCATGTCAGGGGGAAACCTTTACCTTTACCTCAAGGTCATTAGGCCCTGAACCCAGTGTGCTATTCACCACTAGGACCCCCTTGACTTGTGCCACAGATGCAGCCAAAACATCAGGAGAGAATGCTACTGGAATATGGCCATACAGCCCAAAAAACTCACAGCAACCCAAACTGCATTCAATATTTATTTATTTATTTATTTGCAGTATTTATATTCCACCCTTCTCACCCCGCAGGGGACTCAGGGTGGAATATCTATTATCACAGTTTGGAAAAGTTTATTTGGGGCTCTAACTTCCAGACCTTCCTTTTAACAGGGGATTATAGGCATTGCCCGGTTGCACCCACCTCCAAGGAAATGCAGGGAACCAAATCCACCTCTGTCCATGGCATTCATTGACCTTGCAAAGGCATTCGACACAGTGAATCGCAGCGCTCTCTGGATCATCCTCCAAAAAAATCAGGTGCTCAAACAAATTTGTGAACATCCTGTGGCTCCTCCAGGATGACATGATGGCAACAGTCCTGGACAGCAATGGCTCCCAAAGTGACCCATTTAAGGTGGAATCAGGGGTCAAATAGGGATGTGTTATTGCCCCAACTCTATTCTCCATCTTCATCACTATGATACTTCATCTTGTTGATGGGAAGCTTCCCACCGGAGTGGAAATCATCTATCGGACAGATGGCAAGCTATTCAACCTCAGCAGACTGAAAGCCAAAACCAAGGTTACAACAACATCTGTTATAGAACTCCAGTATGCTGATGACAATGTTGTCTGTGCGCATTCAGAAGAAGATCTACAAGCCACTCTAAACACCTTCGCAGAAGCATACGAGAAGCTCAGCCTGTCACTGAACATCGAGAAAACCAAAGTGCTGTTCCAGCAGTCCCCAGCCAATCCCTCTCCAATGCCAGAGATACAGCTTAATGGTGTAACATTAGAAAACGTTGGCTATTTCTGCTCCCTTGGCAGACACCTCTCCACAAAAGTCAACATTGACACCAAAATACAACACCACCTGAGCTCTGCAAGAGCAGCATTTTTCCGAATGAAGCAGAGAGTGTTTGAGGACTGGGACATCCATAGGGAAACCAAGGGACTTGTTTATAAAGCTATTGTCCTCCCAACCCTGCTATACGCCTGCGAAACGTGGACTGTCTACAGATGTCAACATTGAGATGGAAATACAGCATCACCTGAGCTCTGTGAGTGCAGCATTTTTCCGAATGAAGCAGAGAGTGTTTGAGGAGTGGGACATCCATAGGGAGACCAAGGGACTTGTTTATAAAGCTATTGTCCTCCCAACCCTGCTATACGCCTGCGAAACGTGGACTGTCTACAGATGTCAACATTGACACTGAAATACAACACCGCCTGAGCTCTGTGAGTGCAGCATTTTTCCGAATGAAGCAGAGAGTGTTTGAGGACCGGGACATCCGTAGGGAGACCAAGGGGCTTGTTTATAAAGCTATTGTCCTCCCAACCCTGCTATACGCCTGCGAAACGTGGACTGTCTACAGATGTCAACATTGAGATGGAAATACAGCATCACCTGAGCTCTGTGAGTGCAGCATTTTTCCGAATGAAGCAGAGAGTGTTTGAGGACTGAGACATCCATAGGGAGACCAAGGGACTTGTTTATAAAGCTATTGTCCTCCCAACCCTGCTATATGCCTGTGAGACGTGGACTGTCTACAGACATCACATGCAACTCCTGGAACAATTCCATCAGCGCTGTCTCAGAAAATCCTGCAAATCTCATGGGAAGACAGGCAGGGAAATGTCAGCGTGCTTGAAGAAGCAAAGACCACCAGCATTGAAGCGATGGTCTTCCGGTTTTGGGAGTTTTGTGTGCCAAGTTTGATTCATTTCCATCGTTGGTGGAGTTCAGAATGCTCTTTGATTGTAGGTGAACTATACATCCCGGGATTGACAACTCCCAAATGACAAGGCCTATTTCCCCCAAACTCCACTAGTGTTCACATTTGTACATATTGAGTGTCATGCCAAGTTTGGTCCAGATCCATCATTGTTTGAGTCCACAGTGCTCTCTGGATGTAGGTGAACTACAACTCCAAAACTCAAGGCCAATGCCCACCAATCCCAGTATTTTCTGTTGGCCATGGGGGTCCTGTGTGGGAAGTTTGGCCCAATTCTATCGTTGGTGGAGTTCAGAATGCTCTATTGTAGGTGAACTATATACAAACCCCCAACCCCACCAGTATTCAAATGTGGGTGTATTGGGTATTTGGGCCATATTTGGTCCAGTGAATGAGAATACATCCTGCATATCAGATATTGACATGACGATTCATAACAGTAGCAAAATGACAGTTGTGGAGTAGCAACAAAAATGTTATGGTTGGGGGTCACCACAACACTGCTTTAGGAAGGTTGAGAAACATTGGTGTAAAGGAAAACTTTCTAAACCTCATTTATATGGTAAAGCTTACACTATGTATCAAAATTCGTTCCCAGTTTGAAAGTGTTATTTCCCATTTTAACTGTGCAGTCTTTACTTTGAAAGTAGTTGTTACAGTCCAGAAACTTTGTTTCTGTGGCTGCCACAATGCTACTCGAACATTGCCATACAGCCCGAAAAACTTGCAGCAACCTTATGTTGAACTGGTTGAGACTCTATGAGATATTGATTGAAAAACTATTGCAAAATGTGCTACAGAATAATATCCCTCCCGCAGAAACAAAGTTTTGGCAGTTTCGTAAACTTTTCCCATATTGTATTGTCGAAGGCTTTCATGGCTGGAATCACTAGGTTCTTGTGGGGTTTTTTGGGCTATATGGCCATGTTCTAGAGGCATTTTCTCCTGACGTTTCACCTGCATCTATGGCAAGCATCCTCAGAGGTAGTGAGGTCTGTTGGAATTAGGAAAATGGGTTTATATATCTGTGGAATGACTGGGGTGGGGCAAAGAGCTCTTCTCTGCTGGAGCTAGGTGTGAATGTTTCAACTGACCACCTTCATTAGCATTTGAAGGCCTGGCTGAGCCTGGGAAAATCTTTTGTTGAGAGGTGTTAAGATGTGCCTGGTTGTTTCCTCTCTGCTGTTTTGCTGTTGTAATTTTAGAGTTTTTTAATACTGGTAGCCAGATTTTGTTCATTTTCATGGTCTCCTCCTTTCTGTTGAAATTGTCCACATGCTTGTGGATTTCAATGGCTTCTCTGTGTAGTCTGACATGGTGGTTGTTGGTGGTCCAGCATTTCTGTGTTCTCAAATAATATGCTGTGTCCAGGCTGGTTCATCAGGTGCTCTGCTATGGCTGACTTCTCTGGTTGAAGTAGTCTGCAGTGCCTTTCATGTTCCTTGATGTGTGTCTGGGCGCTGCGTTTGGTGGTTCCTATGTAGACTTGTCCACAGCTACTTCAACCAGAGAAGTCAGCCATAGCAGAGCACCTGATGAACCACCCTGGACACAGCATATTATTTGAGAACACATTAATGCTGGATCACACCAACAACCACCATGTCAGACTACACAGAGAAGCCATTGAAATACACAAGAAGCATGTGGACAATTTCAACAGAAAGGAGGAAACCATGAAAATGAACAAAATCTGGCTACCAGTATTCAAAAACTCTAAAATTACAACAGCAAAACTGCAGAGGGGAAACAAACAGGCACATGAAATCACTCTCAACAAAAGATTCCCCCCAGGCGCTTCCAAGCCATTGAATGCTAATCAAGGTGATCAGCTGAAACATTCACACCTAGCCACAGCAGACAAAAGTCCTTTGTCTCACCCTGGTCATTCCACAGATATATAAACCCATTTTTCCAGTTCCAACAGACCTCACTACCTCTGAGGATGCTTGCCATAGATGCAGGCGAAACGTCAGGAGAAAAATTGCCTCCAGAACATGGCCATATAGCCCGGAAAAACCTACAACAACCCATAAACTTGCAATGATTGAAAGATTTAATATTTTGCAATTATATAAAGGTTTTAATGTTTTCCAAAATGTTTGCAATGATGCAAACGTTGAATGTTTTGCAAAATGTTTGCAACGATGCAAATGTTGAATGTGGTCAGTGGGTCCCAGTGACACAGGCCCCTTCTACACAGCTGTATAGAATCCAGATTATCTGCTTTGAACTGGATCGTATGGCAGTGTAGACTCAGATAATCCAGTTCAAAGCTGATAATGTGGTTTGTGTGCCTCGATATGTTGGATTGTATGGCAGTGTAGAAGGGTGCTGAGAGATGGCGGTGTGTTGGGTTTGCAAATAAATAGACCCTCCTTTTATTTCTCCTTTGGCTCATCTGAATTGACAGTCCCCAAAAGGGACTTTTCTCAACACGGGAAGGGTTTTTGCTGTTGTTAGTGTCTTGGCAAATTGACCAAGGCTTAACCCTTATTATCCAGTCTGGTGTCCTTGCCCTTAGCAAAACTATAAGTCACTATCTTTTATGGAGAGGGGGGTCATGTTCGACTTCAAGTCATGGTTCCCTATAAGTGTGCAATGATCCAGTTTTGCAAAAGTCTCCGCAAGTGGGATTGCTGTGTGTTGGGTTTGCAAAACTGGAATGCCAAGCCCCCTCCTCCTTGTTTGAATGGGAAGGGCTTCCTCTCTTTGAGGCCATTTCCCCCTCTTGCTTCATTGCACCTCCCATCTGCCCTGTGCATCCCAAGCAGAGCAGAGCAGAGCCGCATCCTGCAAGCGGAGCATGAGCTGAGAGCATCACAGTGCTGTCCTTTCCCCAAAAAAGGAAGGTATCCAAAGGTAGGAACCTCACCAATCCCTTCTTCCTTCCTTCTTTCCTTTCTTTGCATTTTCTCAGCAGAAGGAAAGTGGCCTGGAGGTGCATCAAAGGCAGGGAGGGAAGGGGAGCAAAACAACAACCGAAACTCTATTTTAGCATCAGTTTTCAACAATATAATTGTTTTGCAAACTTTTGGGCTTTTTTTTGCAAAAATTTGAGCAAAATACTCAAATGCTTCCAACCAGGCAAGTTTTTGGATTCAGCAAAACTCTTCTTCAAGGCGAGGCAAGGAATTTGGGTCAACTTTGATAGCAACAATGGAAAGTGCCAATCAATAGTGTCATTTAGTCCTATGTTAGTGTTTCTCAACCTTCCTAATGCCGTGACCCCTCATGTTGTGGTGACCCCCAATCATAACATTATTTTTGTTGCTACTTCATTACTATAATTTCGCTATTCTTACAAGTCGTAATGTAGATACCTGATATGCAGGATGTATTTTCATCCACTGGACCAAATTTGGCATTTGAGAGCTGTAGTTGATTTTTGTCATTTGGGAGTTGTAGTTGCTGGGATTTATGGTCTACCTACAATCAAAGAGTATTCTGAACTCCACCAATGATGTAATTGAAACCATTTTAGCACACAGAACTCCCATGACCAACACAAAATACTAGAAGAGTTTGGTGGGCACTGACCTTGAGTTTTAGAGTTGTAGTTCACCTACATCCAGAGAGCAGTGTGGACTCAGACAATGATGGATCTGGACCAAACTTGGCACAAATACTCAGTATGCCCAAATGTAAACACTGGTGGAGTTTAGGGAAAATAGAATCTTGGCATTTGGGAGTTGTAGTTACTGGGATTTATAGTTCACCTACAATCAAAGAGCATTCTGAACCCCACCAACGATAGAATTGGGCCAAATTTCCCACACAGAACCCCCATGACCAACAGAACATACAGTGTTTTCTGATGGTCTTTGGCGACTGCTCTGACACCCCCTGGTGACCCCTCCAGGGGTCCCGACCTCCAGGTTGAGAAATGCTGTTCTGTGTACTCTTGTATTCTCTTTGCCATATACACTATAGTGCACCTACAACATACAATTAATGTGGTTGGATGCCACTTTTCAACTGCTATTGTATCCTGGGAGTTGTAGTTTTGAGGGAGCCTGGCCCACTTTGGCGGAGAAGGCAACCGACCTTGGGAAACTACAACTCCCGGGGCTCCACACCATTGAGCCATGGCAGTTCGAAGTCATGCCAAACTTGCATTTCTTCGACTTCTTGAAATTATAGTTTTAAGATCAAGTTTGGATAAAATTTATCAAGAATTTAATTTTTGAGTGATCTACCCAAATACTTCCAATCTGGCAAGGTGTGTATTGGGC